ACCTATTGTTGGTGTTTTTTGTCCAGTTTTGTAGATGGATTTTATTGAACAAAGGCTATTGGAATATTTCTATACAGTTTCTATGTATCACTCCATTTTATTGTACATATAAAGAGCATGTCACACATAATTATACATCTCCAAATTCAACGTAAGGCACTTGTCCCACCGCCGACGATGAACAAGAAGCGACTAGATCTGGAAACGAGTTGGTGAGCAGTGGGAAGCGAGTGTATAGTGTGCAAGTACAACGGGCGATTACTCGCGCCACTCGCTAGCGATGACAGTCCTGAGCAAAAATGCACGCGTATACTCCACACTAGTTTTTACGGCCAAAACTAGCATCGCTGAGCGAGTTTTATCTTTTATAGCACTTATCACTCAGCCAGAAACTAGTGGAGCGAGTTCTCGCCCGCAGTGTTAACAGTCAGCGATCAACTATTAACATACATTCGCTGTTTTTAGGGCGTAACTCTTAAAATCAATTATAAATTATATAAATTCGAGTATCGCTATCGCTTATTTCACCGCTTCAAAAAAAAAATATCATATCGACAGTGGAAAAACATAATCGCTTATACGTCACTTTGGTGTTGCTTAAAAATTAACTTAATATCAGTTTTTATTTAATGTTAATTTTTAAACAGCACCAAAGTGGCGTATCTTTCAACCGTCGATATAAATCTTACTCCAACGGCAACGCTTCAACATTCCATTCATATGCATAGTAAAATTCTTCATAAACAATATTGATATAATGGTGTCAATTCTGACACGATTCCCTAAACTTAAAACTAAATTTAACATCAAGCTCTCCTTTCCATTCTGTATAGAGAATGAAACAGATATACTGTTGTCAAATTTAATTTTAGGTTTAGATAATCATGCCAGAATCGACACCATTATCGCATTATAATTATTGTCTACTAAATGTATAATAGTATAGAATGATATAATGAAAAAAATCATCACTCAAAACATCTATTATTTGTGATTGATGAAGTTATAGTTGATGTAGAGCCTGAGATAAAATTAGGCAATAGAGGCCGTCGTATCACCTGTTGACCCGGCTTGGATGTGTTTACACACCGGACAGGGCCGCCCAACCTCACCTTTCCGATGTAACCGCACAATAATTATTTAACGGAATAGCGCGTTATTTAATCTTTAACACAATCCATCAGTTATCAGATTGGATTATCATAAGCCTATCTATATACATTAATAGAAAGATGGTTTTATTAAACTCGGTGCTTCGGTATAAACTTTATCCTGTGAAAAGGCTTGCCAGAAGCTTAATAACGATTTTTAGTATGGTTTTATCTCACGTCATAAACAACCACGCTTTGGAAAGAGCAAAGACCTTTAAAAAAGTTATTTATTTATGTTCAAATATCCGATATCATTGGTACTGTGAATACGAATACTCACATGTAAAGCAGTCCTGTTTTGTTTTCGGAGTATCTCAGTCAGACAACATTTTCTACCAGTCAAATCAGTTTACGTGTAAAAACCCAATGCAATAGACAATTATCACTACTAACATCCCAAAATCCAATCATCGGAACTTTTACTTTTTTCACTCGTTCATTCTGCATCTCTTAGCTTTGTGACTGTGAAAATCACAGCCATACTATGAAGTTGTATTGAAAAGAAGAACCGACAAGAATATTTATAATAGCTTTTTTAGTCTATTCCGTACATACAGCCAAAACATTAAAACAATAATATTAAACCACATAAATTGAGTAATGATCAAATTAATCGATCCCGGCGAATTATAAAAATAAATACATAACCTCCTCCAGTTGTTTGGAATGAAGATAACCAATTCGTAGAAATTTTACAGTTATGGAAAACATAATTAACTTTATGATTTGTACTACTTAAGGAAGTACAATCACTCTCAGGGTTTCATTGATTATGTTAAAAGGTACTCAAAAACATTCAAAAGTGTATGTGCAACAGCCAAATCCAATTACATAAAAAATAAAATCATAAAATCTAATAATAAAATTAAAACGACATGGAATGTTATTAATAGAGAAACTGGTAAAGAAAGAACCCTCGATGATGGGATCGCACTTAAAGTAGATAATATTCAAATTAAAACAAAAGAACAGATTGCCAATACTTTTAATGAATATTTTGTTAATATACCATTAATCACTACTTCTAATTTGAATTCGACGCCAGCGGGTGCTAAGAGTTTGCTAGAGACGTGTGTGCCTCGGTGTAATAACCTGTTTACGTTTAAACATGTTGATTTTATGGATATTATAAAATGCTTTAACTCACTTAAAAAGAAAAATACGTGTGATTTGTTTGGAATGTCTATTAAAATTACTAAAAGTATAATAACAGTTATCGCTCCTTATCTTGCAGATATATTCAATAAGTGTATTGATCAAGGTGATTTTCCAGACCTTATGAAATATAGTAAAGTTATCCCTCTCTTCAAAAACGGCATAAGAGATGATCCCGGTAATTACAGACCTATATCAATATTACCGGTATTAAGTAAAATTTTCGAAAAAATTATTTTAGATCAATTATTATCGCATGTCAGTTTGAACAAACTGTTACATAATAATCAATTTGGCTTTACTAGGGGTAGATCAACAACGGATGCGGGTGTTGCACTTATAAGACATATAATGGAAGCCTGGGAGAAGTCGCAGAATGTTCTTGGGGTATTCTGTGACTTATCCAAGGCGTTTGACTGCGTTGAGCACCAGACGCTGATGTTAAAATTAAATCACTATGGAATCAAAGGCGCAGCCCAAAACTTGCTACTATCGTATCTCAGTTCCAGAGTTCAAACTGTAGAGGTAAATGGTGTTAAGTCATCTGGATCTTATGTGAAAATGGGCGTTCCCCAGGGATCGATTTTAGGTCCGTTTCTATTTTTATTGTACATAAACGATTTGCCATTTTTTGTGGAAAAATTGTGTGAGATCGTATTGTTTGCTGATGATACTTCTTTATTATTTAAGGTTGACCGATACAAGAATAACTTTGACGATGTAAATAATGCTCTCTCACAAGTATTGCACTGGTTTAATGTAAATAACTTAAAATTAAATGCAAATAAAACCAAATGCATTAAATTCACTTTACCTAATGTTAGAAGCGAAACCATTAGAATTAAACTAAACAATGAAAACCTAGATTTAGTTGAGTCAACGATATTCTTAGGTATAACCATAGACTCGAAATTGCAATGGTATCCTCATATTTCTCTGCTAGCTGGTAAACTTAGTTCAGCAGCCTATGCCATACGTAAAATAAGACAACTTACTGATGTAGCTACTGCTAGAACTGTATACTTTAGTTACTTTCATAGTATTGTATCCTATGGTATTATTCTCTGGGGATCAGCAGCCGATATTGAAACTATATTTATCTTGCAAAAAAGAGCTATAAGGGCTATTTATCAACTTAGTTCTAGAACATCTCTTAGAGAAAAATTTAAAGAAATCGGGATTTTGACTGTTGCTTCTCAATTCATTTATAATTGCATACTTTTTGTTCGAAGCAATATTAACTATTATCTAAAACACAGTGACATACATTCTTTTAATACAAGGAATAAAAATAAACTCAAGATACCAAATTACAGGTTACAGAAGGTTCATAAATCATTTATGGGTCAAGGTATACATTTCTATAATAAGATTCCTATTGATATCCTTGATTTGCCTCCTCATAAATTTAAAATACACATTAAGAATTGTTTACTTAAGAAAGGATATTATACTGTCAATCAATATTTGAATGATAAAACGGCCTGGTTGTAATTTTACTTGTAGATAATTTTTCAAAAGTTATATTAAAACTAAGGCTCCCAGTTATAGAAAGAGTTTTGAAGAGAACCTTGCACTTACTCCCTTTCATATACTTGTTCATTTTATTTTGAAAATTGTTTCTTGCTATTTTGGGACTTATCTTTGCAGTTATTGTTAGTAAATTCATTGATTGTTACATATTTGACATTATGTGATGGAAGTTGACCTCAACACATGTTTGCAAGTTTGATGTCAACTTTCAATTGGACGACACTGTATGAAATAAAACAGGGAGAAAAAAGCAGCCCTTGCTGAGTTTCTTGCCGGTTCTTCTCAGTACAAGGTCTCCCGCCGTAGTTTTGCGAACCGATGGCGTAGCTTTTCGACATTCACAAGTGCTTGTAACAGCCTAGACTGAATAAACGATATTGAATTTTGAATTTTTTGAATTTAATATTCAACTGTATGTAATGGGTGTGAGAGTGATAGAACAGGTGCTTCTCTACATAGTTATTGATTGAATCCCAGCTGCAGCCGAATATATTAGGCTCACCTTTATACAATTAAATCATATTACTTGTTTGCGTTCATTTTGCTTCTGCAATTTTCCGGCTTAGTCGGCAAATAAATAACATATGTTACAACAAATATGGAGCGTTCCTACTTCAAATGACTTTATGTGCTTCATTAGTTTATTCAATCATAAACTAATGAAGCTAAAATATCTAAGCTTTTTTTTTGAGGCCTTTCCGAAACCGACATAATAATATCATGTGCGGTGAACAAAAACTCCGATCTAAGTTTTATAAGAAATACTCTTTGTTATAAAAGTTAATTATAATATAATGAGACAATACAAAAATCATTTCATTTTTCTCGGGACACCAGGCGGAATCTGCACGGATATTCCTGTCAGTTGAATTTTGAAAGTTAAGGTGAAAAATGTGTTCAGTTCAGATAAAGTATCACCGTGAGGAAGCTAATAAGAGTTCGCAAAGCATTCAAGATTGGGTACCACTGCTGCTAGGATGACGTGACTCAACATGCGTCAAGGTGAACCGCCGCAGCCTCTTCGACGCCGGACACCCGTCCTGCGCTCCACTGAGCTACCGGCACATTTATCACACACACACATCTCGAATAATATCTCCAAATAATCGACTAGTTAAGATAACCGTTATACGGGCGCGACACAAATCGCGAGCGCGTGGCGGGAGACGTAAAATATGATGCGCGTGCGCACTGTGACCCAGACACGATGTTCCACGCCGCGAGTTGGACGTGCGCGCTCATCGTCCTCGCCAGCGCGCGCGTCTACGAGCGCTGCGAACTCGCACGCGAACTGCTCTCGCTGGGCGTACAACGCGAAGACGTTTCCACGTGGGTCTGTATCGCTTATCACGAGTCCCGCCTCGATACATCTGCTCGCAACTACGGCAGCGGCGACCACGGCCTGTTACAAATTAGTGAGCTGTACTGGTGCGGCCCCGGCAAAGCATGCGGCCTCCCATGCAGCGATCTGCGAAACGCAGACATAGCAGACGATGTGCAGTGCGCACTCCAAATCCGCGAAGAACACGACAGACTCCAGGGCGATGGCTTCTTGGCTTGGGTTGTTTACTCACAGCATTGTAAACACAACACTAAGAAATACATCGTTGACTGCGATAGTCAAATGAAAAATGTTCCAGTAAAAACCACTAGCAAATCACGTCATTTAGACATACATAACTCCACGAGATTCGAGTACAATCCAAATATCGACAATTTAAAACCACCTTATTTAGTAGCTATTAATTCAATATTTCGTGGACAGTTTGGCAAAGTGTTACAAGAAACTGGTCAGAAAAGTGCTCGAAACAATTGGTTAAATTACAAAGTGGATAACATTGACGATTTAAGATTACCCATGTTTAATATTGATAAAAACAATGAAGTAGTGCAATTAGCTTTAACGTCTCCTCACCCCACCTCTAGTCAAACCAGTGCACCGACTACTGAAAGACCTTGGAAAAGAAAATACATTGAAACAAAACAATTCCGAAAAAGAATTTTTACCCAAGAGAAACAGCCAACAAATGAAGAAGAAATCGATAAATCTTCCCCGAGTTACATCAATGACGTCGCTCCAAAATTTATATATAATAAATATTCGCAAATAATAACAACGACGAGTAAACCAGCGAATGTGGTAACTGCCACCAGTAGATTTACAAAGCCTGTTACTACTAGTAGTAGAACTCTACAAACTGTTACTTCTACTAGTAAACGTGCACTAACTATTATTGCTACTAATAAACCTGCAATCATCTCAACTAGCACTAGTGAACCAGCAAAAATCGTAACAAGCACTTATAAGCCTGCCATAAATGTAACTGCAACTAGTGTTCCAGCAAAAATGGAAACTACCACTAGTAAGATTGTAAAAGTTGTAACTCCCGTGAAAAACTTCGTACCATTCACTAGTAGTGCAAGTAAACATTGGACGTTTAGTACAAGACCATCGTCATTCTCTAAAGCTTCACAAACATACAAATATACGCCAGACTCGACATCGAGACCCATAACAACAGTATTTTCAAGATTCACCAACACAAGACCAACGACCACTAAAAATTCAAAAACAGTTTTAACAACAACCGTGAAGCCTCCGACATTTATTTTCAGATCATACAACCAGATGACTTTAAAGCCAATTATATCGAATAAATACACTTTCCTCGCGACTACAACAAAGAGTAATAGAGACAGAGAGCCCAGAGCTTTCAGTGATTTTAAGACACTCTCAACGATTACTACGAGAAAACTTTCTACAGTAGCAACAGCGACGGAAAATTACAGGAAAGCAATAACGCAACGTCCTGTGACCACAAAAGCAACTCAATCCATATTCGACTTGTACTTGAATCCGACAAAGGCTCCCCAACTGCGTACTTACAAGTTTCCTCAATTCGACAATGGCGTTCACAAGCTAAAAATATTTTCTGACGGCACAACTACCCCAGCCCCAAAACTTTATTCAAACACACGCAATTACGTAAGGCGACAAACGTAGACGTTAACAACGCAAATAATTTAAGAATGTCGTAACAAAGTATATGTATGTACCGATATATTTTTAAGTTTTTCACAAACAAAAACTATGCGAATATTTAGGAATCAATATATTTCGTAATATTCTTATTAAATATTGGAATAAATTAGAATTTTAAATTGTAAAAAGGAAAGGTTATCGGACTCATTAATTTGGTCTCAGTTCCTTTTTTACATGGAAATAAAATTATGCATTTATTTGTATTACTCAATTCCTAATAATATTAAATGCTATTGTATAAGAAACGCGACGTTTTTATTTCGTTTGACTCCCCGATGTTTATAAAATAGTAGTAAGTTAAAATTTACATTATTTATCTTGAATCTCAACAAATACCCTCAAAGCACTTTGTAATACTTCAGTTTTGAATAGTTTTGTAAAAATTACATTAACACGATAGAGTTCTAAAGAGAACCAAGATCTTTTTACAAAATTCTTGTTTGCCGTACATAAATAGGGAAGATAGCTCTTGAGTAAAGTTTTCTGCATTGTTTAATTATAAATCCATGTACATAAATATCCGCTGTTGGTGCCTTGTATATCTTGCATTAACTTCATGCCAGCGGCGTAGCGTGGGTGTCGGCCGCCCCTACTACGCTGCCACTGCTTCATGCTAGGTTTGTTAGGTTTCAGGCATTGACGTATAAAAAAATCAACTGTTTCTGTCCAGACAGAAACAATATAGTGACAGGTTGGTAGCACTCGGTAATAACAATTTCGGAGTATGTTATATCCGGTAATAGGCTTTTATCGCAAAGTACACTAGACGAGTTTTCCATTTTCCCAGGATCTGTTTTTACCCGACTGCGCAATGCAAGAGTGCGAAGCGCGACGCGCAGGCAGGGTATAGTGTTAAACAGTCTATATATGTATGTTTGTTCCTTTGTGGCACACTAGAGACCAAACGCATGGACCGATTTTGATGATTCATACATCAATCGATTCGTCTTAATCATGGGAGTGCTACTAAAGATATGATAGTAATCAAAATTCAGTATTGGAACAATCAGGCGCCATTTTGTGACGAAGTAAAAAAAATAAGTTGACGAAATATGTCGAGTGGGGTATCATTGTCTAGATAATCGAAAATCATGTTTAGACTCCCTACGCCATTTTTCATTTTATATGACTGTTTAGGATCTACAACGATTTAAAGTTGTATATTAACCACTTACGCTTTTAATTTCAATCTTACGTTTGGATGGATGTTTGTTACTGTTTCACCTAAAAAATACTGAATGGATTTTAATGAAACTTTACAATAATATAGCTCATACATGATAATAACATAAAGATAATAATTTATGTAGTCATTGAGTGAATTGGCCAAAATATAACAATAAGGGTCAAGTAAGACGGAAAAACATCTCCCATTTGCGAGCCATTTCGGCCTGCATTGCAAAAACAATAAAAGTTACATGAATATAATGTAGAGTGAAAATGTATCTCTTAAGAAGTTCTACAAAAAAGTCCGCGACACCGTGTATGTATTTTTAATGTTCAAGCTATTATCGCTAAAAAAGTGAATCTAAAATAAAATATTATTTGATGTCCATTTCCCAAATGCACATTTGGTATTTACAAATTATTTTTTACCAAAATAAATACTTTTATCGCTTTTGACATTTCAAGACGATAAAGTTTGCCTTTTACACTATGGCATTTCGACAAATATTTAAAAAGTTGCAACGATGAAAAAGTGATAGCGGGTGTACTATGTATGCATTAGTAGACTGCGGGCATAGTGGGAGAAGAATTTCGGAGTTTATAAACGTAGATAAAACCTAGGCGAAAAAGAAAAAAATGGGCTACTCACAGTATCTAGTCCTATACGAAGTACTTATAATAAAACTATGATACAGTTCCTTCTTATTAAATGATAAAAAATAAATTATCATAATAGGTATTTATGATTATTGTAATTTAATGAAAATCTCAGAATTATACTGTTTTTAAAGTTTATTTTAACGACATCATGTTTCAAAAAAGGGTTACTTAACATAATGAGAAATAACCCTTTTTCGCTAGTAGGCACATATTTAATGGCTCCCTGTATTTATTAATTTTCGCGGTAATGTTGGTTTTGTAATTATAAACGATAAATAATTCTGCAAAATTCTAAGTAAATAATACAAAGTTTTATAGCTTAATCACCCATTCCATCACCCTATGCCTGTAAGTATTGCGATATTCTAGCTTAGAACCAAGGCCCATCTAATTCTATAGGGAAATTCATCATAATCGATTTAGCTATTAGGGCGCGGAAGTGTAAAAAACCAACCTCAGTTTCGCATCTATAATATTATATTATACTTACTAGTGATCCACCCCGGCATTGCACGGGCGAAATTTATTTTAAAGGGATAAAATATAGCCTATGTCACTTGGATAAAATGTAGTTATAAAAAAATACAAGAAAAAATTCCTCTCAAAGAAGTTGTCAGAGTGGATTTTTTCAACTCAAAATTTTCTTTAGAATTATAAATCGAGCAGATTAATCAACGATATTGAGATTAATGCTTTAAAATATAATAATAAATAATGTAGCTACCTTATGATGAATAAATTTTCGAAATCGGTTCAGTAGTTTGACAGATTATTTGTTACACACATACAACTCTTGCCTCATTATAATATTACTATAGATACTTAGGATAATTATAGTATGTAATTGATGCAAAAGATTTAAAAATAAAGTAAGTAAGAGGTTTATTTGATTATATTGGTAAAAGCTACTGAGCATTTTTGTAAACAGTGATTCGTTATTCGGTAATTTATACATGCTTATTCTTATTTTGCCTATAGGTAGAAAAAATATTTGGAAAATATTTTTTATGATTGCACCACTTGTAATACCTACTAGGCTGGTAGCAGCCCCATTGATAGGTGGAAGTACTCTTTATTCGAGCTTTACACTACCAATAAAAAGGGTAGACCAGAAAGTCTGCGACCTCTAACTGGTGAACGCTTTAAAAAAGAACGACATAGATGTAAATCTATACATTGGGTGATAAACTGATAATAAATAGGATTGCTATGGTGCTGTACCTAACGCTGTGGAAATTTTATTCTGCACAATCAAATATTATAAACTTTTCTTTGGTGATTGCATAATTATTTAATTTTGCGATCTAAGGCAGTTGCCACCAGTGTCCAACACAACAGATGGGAATATATGGGATGGGTTATTGATTGGTATTGTATATAGAGTGATTAACAACATTTGAAGTAACCTCTGGCGTGTACATATTTGGTTTCTGTGAATTATGTAGGTATATCATATTATGAGACTAGGGTATGGACACTGTATTTTTGTATATCATAATCTTAGAGCCGGATGTTGATATGATAATGCAGCCACTGCCAATTAGATAGTCGACAAATAAAAGTAAATTAATTTTATATTTACTTCTAAACTACTAAAAAGAACATAAGCAAAAAATTCACTTTTTGAATAAGTTATAGTTAATTATAAATTTTACAGGCATTAGATATATAAGTAACGACTTGATTTACAAGTAACTTCACACATTTTTGCGAAAATTGAGGCCCTGACACTGCTGGTAAGGCCTCTATGTCTTAATAAATCAATCGGTCTAAAACCACCGCAAGGTACTTAATAACTCCCGCGATATTAATTCCCTTACTTAAGTGATCAGACTACGGTATATGCCATCATATAATACTAAAAAGTGTGAAATAAAAATGATAATTTAAAAATCAAAAAACCCGACTGCTAAAATATTACTTCATATAAAAACTGAAAATAAAAAAAACAAGTAGTCTATAATTCTGATAAGTAAGGAACAAAGCTACTTTAACAGTCGGAACGCATTATTGAAAAATGTTATCCATTCTTGAATATCTAATGGGACCCGACTGTTAAAGTAGCTTTGTTCTTTACCGTTTACCGATGAGTCATCGATGACACTAATCGTAACACATTCGCCAGTTCACCCCCCCCCAAGTCAAGCGTGCCTAAAGAAGTTTCACTTCAAAAATATTCGACCGCGTCAGACGTTGAGAAGGGATGTTACGTGAACCCTCCAGTAGATTCTATTCAAAAGACTGACGATTTGGACGCAACCAAAAGTCAGAGCCGTTTGTTGAAATTATATTTTGCTGCCTTAGACGTTGGACCTAAATAAAGGGCTTAGTAGTACTTCACAAGAATATTCTGATATGCATGATATTCTGCCGCGCTCGAGTAAATCCAAAATCCCCACTTGGTCTCTCCTACTATTATAAATGCATGAATTTTTTGCTGATTGTCAAAAGTTCTGATTATGTAGTTACTATCTAAACTACGGAGTATTACGTTCAGTACCTATTGATTGATTACCTGTAACCAGTGCCGTCTTTGACCTATTGGAGGCCCTGGGCAAATTAGGATAATGGGGCCCCTATGACTTCCGTTCGGTGATTTAACAGCAACTAGGGACTTTGTATTTGATTTGAGGGGGCCCCCTATCGATCACGGGGCCCTGGGCACTTACCCAAAGTGGAAAGTGGGAAAGACGGGTCTGCCTGTAACCAGTAACCCAGCTGTTATAGGGGAACAGAATAAAAAACTAGTTACAAACAAACAGTGCAGTACTTTTAATGTGAATGATAATAGTCTGAATACATAGAACATTAATTATAGTCTAAGATCCGAACCTACACCGACGTTCACCGAGCTGTTAATAGAATGAAACAATTTTTTATCATGAATTTAGTATATTTGAAAATATATTAAAAATGGGTTGCCTAAAAAAATTCCTGACAGACTATTTTTTAATTAATTATAAAAAATGCAATATCAAAATAATAAGAAAACGTTGTCCTGTATTGAAGTATAAAACGTATAAAATGTGCAGCCGTTGGGTTGTCTATTAATTATCTGGACGAACTACTGGGTCGCCAGTTATAAACAGTTACGTTAACCAACTGCTGCACATTCTATATTAAACCTTTTATACTTTAAGTCAGGACAACATTTTCTTATTATCTTGATATAACAACATATCTTTTTTAATCATTTTAAAAAAAAAATCTAAAAGTCTGTCCAAGATTTTTTTTGGCAACCCATTTTAACTAAATTCATGATGATATGTTTCATTCTATTATGTGCTCGGTGAAGGTCGATGTTCGAATCTTCTGCTATTACAATAATAAATAGTTTGAATATGTAATAGTTACCTCCTTGATGCGATACACCGAACTCCTAATACAATCAGTGATCTGAAAGTTCTGCATTCTCACCAAAC